CTCTTCATCGATGTCTGTGGTGGTGGACAAGTGGGAGCCGAGATACTGAAAGTGGGTAACTTTAGAGAGGGTAGTACTGCTGTTAAGCTGGATGGATGGTAGAGGTGTGGCTGAACCAGGGACAGGCTGAAAGAAAATTTGAGTCTTACGTACATTCACCTCAAGACCAAAGTGTGCATACGCATCAGTGCAGGTGTTCAGGATCTCCTGTAGGTCACGTTCAGTGTGAGCTCATCTGCAAACTGAAGTTCAGCAATGGAAGCTACTGACACCTTTGTTCCTGCCTGGAGTCGTCTTATGTTGAAAACACTCTCTAATCAGTAATAGTATGTATACAGGAGTATTATCAAAAGTTTATTGATAGAATTCAATAGTAATAAATCTCAGTATTTACCAATTACACTTTTGAAATTAGATGATTTCCCATCAATCACATTTCAGGATGCAATCATTCTGCCAAGTTCTAAAATAGATATGCTAGGTCTCACCATTTCCTCTAATATGTCATGGAAGCCACACATCCACAACATTACTAAAGCTGCCTCTCAAAAGCTGGGAATGTTGTACAGATGCCATAGCTACTTCACTCCTGAACAGTTGCTTCAAGTTTATAAGGGATTCATTCTTCCTAACTTGGAGTACTGCTCTCATATCTGGGGTGGCTCTTCTTCTGTCCAACTGTTAGATTGAGTGGAATACGCATTTCGTCTTATTGACTCTCCTCTTTAGTTGATAATTCACTGGTCAACATAAAAAAAAATTCTCATGGTTCTGGATCAAAACAGTCTGATTCTAGTGTAATTGTATGTGCTGAACTCAATTATGACATTCGTATAGCTGTATCAGGCTCAGTTTTCCAGAACCAGCATATCTATATATTTAGTGTACCATGCTATTCATACAGTAATTTATATGCTCATTGGCTCCACTTATGCAATTATTTTGTCCTGATTTGTGCTTTTTTGTTTGTTTCAGTTTGCTGATTCATGATATTGCATATCTACACCTGCATGATTTGTAATTATTCTGAAATTAACAAAACATGGAACGTCGCAAGTGTGTGAACGGTGCTGACAGTTTTTGCTACATATGTGGTGCCTTCACTCCTGGTAGCCTCAAGAAACCAATCACAAAAGCTGTTCGACTGAACTACAAAAGTTACTTCAAATGTCATTTGGGTGACCAAGACAAGAAATGGGCACCTCATGTAGCCTGTAAGTCTTGTGTTAACCACCTGAGCGAGTGGATGTGTGGTAAACGAAGTTCAGGAATGCCGTTTGCTGTACCAATGATATGGCGTGAACCTAAAGACCACAGTAGTGACTGCTACTTCTGTCTCACAAATATTAAGGGAATAAAAATCAAGACACGAGGCAAGGTACAGTACCCCAATATTGCTTCTGCAATCCGACCAGTACCGCACAGTGCTGAACTTCCAGTCCCAAATCCACCGACTGAACAAGAATTGAGTGATTCCGATTCTACCTCTACCTCAATGGAAAACGACTACCAGGATGACTCTGAAAATACCAGGCCTAAACTATTTACTCAAGAAGCGCTTCATGATCTCATCAGGGACCTAAACTTGTCAAAAGAAAAGGCTGAAGTTTTGGGATCCAGACTAAAGCAGCGTAACCTGCTAGAAGATGGAGTGCATATCACTACAGCGCGTTACCGACATAGACAGCTGTCTGCATTTTTCAAGATGGCAAACAACCTTTGTTATTGCGAGGACGCAGTATCTCTCATGCAACAACTCTGCAAGTCTGAAACATACAAGACAGAGGTTTGGAGGCTGTTTATAGACTCAGGAAAAGACTCTCTGAAAGCTGTTCTTTTACACAATGGCAATCGGCTTCCATCTGTCCCAATAGCACACGCAACAAAAATGACTGAGAGCTATGAAACAATGAAAATTCTGTTGGCCGCTATAGAGTATGAGAAACACCAGTGGAAGATATGTGGTGATCTCAAAGTCATCAGTTTACTACTGGGCCTTCAGAGTGGCTACACAAAGCACATGTGCTTTTTATGCTTGTGGAACAGCAGAGCTGATGCAGAGCACTATGTGAGAAAGGATTGGCCGACAAGACCAAGAAATGTGCCTGGAAAGTTTAACTGTGCTCACAATCCGCTTGTAGATCCAGAAAAGATATTTTTGCCTCCACTGCATCTAAAGCTCGGTTTGGCTAAAAATTTCATCAAAGCTATGGATCAATTCGGTGCTGGGACTCTATACTGTACTTATCTCAGAAACTAGGTGGTGTGGTTTCCGAAGCCAAGTTGAAAGCAGGTGTCTTGAATGGACCACAAATTCGTATACTAGTTAATGATAGCGAATTCACCAAAACATTGAACCCACTGGAGAAAAAAGCATGGGAATCATTTGTCAATGTGCCAAAGAATTTTCTTGGAAACTATCGTGCTGACAACTACAAAGAAATCGTAACAACCATGCTTCAGAATTATCATGCATTGGGAGCAAGGATGTCCTTGAAATTGCATTTTTTCCACTCTCATATTGAATTTTTCCCAGGTAACCTTGGAGACGTTAGTGATGAACACGGCGAAAGATTTCATCAAGATATTGCCATAATGGAGAGCAGATATCAGGGACAATTCAGTCCTACCATGATGGGCGACTATTGCTGGACACTGCAACGAGAAGAGAGCAAGCTGTACAAGAGAAAGAGTAAAGTTCAGAAGCACTTTTAGAACTTCATATTTTGTCATTATAAAGGATTTGAACTTATGTTTTTTGGTACAATTTTTTATGAGCTTATCTGTGATAGGTTTAAAATTGTATCTTGCATGATGCGATAATGTTACTATATTTACTATTTTTTTTATTCTTTAAGAAAGTAGGTCTGATGGTAGAATGAAACATCCAATTAATATTCATTAATATGAAATTAGTCATGAAAGCACAGTCACGAGATAATCTCATCTTTTGCACGACACGTGATGGAATATTAAATATTTGTACCTATTGATTTTTTATAAAACCTGGTCTGATAGAACAAAACAAATATCAGATTCGAATTCAGCAATATGAAATTAGTTGTGTGAGCATGATCTCATATGTGAACCATTTTGGCTGTTGACCAGTGTAATCTTTCTTCCCTTTCTCTTCACCGCAATGTTGCTTCATTCTCTCTCTTTTACAGGTAATCTAGCGGGCTATGTTCGGTGGATTTGGCATCCTGTGTACCGCCGGCAAGGCTCGTAACACTCGTCTTGCCCGTGCTGCCCACAGTTTCTCTGTGGCTGTCGGTCACACTAGAATAACCAGTTATAGTACATCCTTCTTTCCTCACACAGCCAAACTGTGGAATGCTTTGCCTTCTTCTGTGTTTCCATACTCTTACAATGTCTCACTTTAAAAAGCCGGTTTTCCGGCATCTTCGTGGTGTAGATTAATATGGTCTTTTTCTTTTCTATTTTTATTTCTTTTTACTCTTATTTTTGGCCCCCTAGGTCCTGTTGTGGGTCGATGACCTGTGCCAAGGTGGGCTATTCCCCGTAAATTGAAAAAAAAAAAAAAAGCATTACATTGCACTTGGACTATCTGAGGCTGGTGGAGCACTACAACATTCTGTGGTTTAATAAAATAGAAACTCTCTCTCTTCTCTTGTTATAGCTTCATCTGTTATTCATTTCTTTGTTTCAGCTTTGAATTTCTTTACACTATTAGTACTGGTTTTGATGTGGTCTGGTAACTTGTTCCAGTCTATTATAGCAGAAGTGTTTTTCGCTTGATCGCAGACACGAGGTACCATAAAATATATGTTCATTCCCTCTAGTGCCCAGCCGGTTCATATCCCTATACCTTGCAGTTTGTTGTTAGATACTCTGAGCACAGTCCACTGACAATTTTGTAAGTATGATTCAGCCTCAGTTGCTTCACTCTATCTGCCACACTTAACTTGTTTAGTGATATAAGAACTTTATGACCAATGTTATCTCTTGCCATACACTCTCTGAGTCAGAAGGGCGGCTGCCTGACTGAACTGTGTTGCACACTCCTGGTATCACATCACCCAAAGGATGGAAAAACCTATTTCATGTACATAAAATGTATGCTATTGTATTCTAGGATATGCTATGTATCATTTTCTTGTTTATTATGGCAGCTCTTGTTAATTTTTGGCATATGCAAAATACAGAATAATGAAGGATTGGAACCTATTCCCATTTACTCCATATTAAATCTACCCCCGATAATGATGTCTCCAAGAATGAAGTGGATTTTATGAACATAGCTACTTTGCTGCCAGAAGTATACTGTACACCCACTAAAAAATTATTCGGCACCCGTGTCATATTGTATCACGCCGTAAGGGTGCCGAATAATTTTTTAGTGGGTGTACCTGTATTCAAATTTTTTTTTTGATTGGTGCAGCAAATAATTAACCCCTGGTGTATGGTGTCACCTCTGAGCAGAATAAAATCATCTGGCATTAGCCAAATATAACACTAAAAGTGGTGTCCCAGTAGTGAAGGGGCTAAAAACAATATTATCTGTATATTGTATTAAAGAAATACAAGTGAAGATAAAATAAGATTTATAAAACTTAAAGAAATTTTTTCAATATACTGTATGCCTTACAGTACGTTTCCTACATCAAAGTTGAAAGAAAAAAATCTAAAAAATTAGTTGATTGATTAAGATTATAAAAATTTCTCACAACTTTCTAAATCTGTTTATCAAGATATCAACAACCCTACTGATCTAACTTAGACATCACAGAGAACAGATATGAAGCATTAGGAATCAATCTGGTGGCCAAGGATTACTTTTTTATGTTTGGAATATGAGTAAGTACTGCATTTATGGTATATCTACTAAACTTGTTGTTTCAGGACTTTCCTGTTGCTTTCTCAACCTGTCATGCAAAAATCTCTGTATACACCAAGTTCTATACCTACACAAAACTTGAAATGTAATGAAAACAGACAGATATAGACTCATAAAGTGGCAACAATCCTCACTGACTCACCTTCTTCTCTCAGCTGTTTTCTGTAATTTTTACGAGTATTTTGGAACCAGGTTTTAACAACAGCATAATCAACCCCAAGTTGAATGGAAATTGCTAATTGCTCTCCAGGTTCTGGGAAGTTATCATGGTCAAAGTGGGCTTCCAAAATCTCACGTTGGTTTCCAGTGAAGTAAGTTGGAGTTCTTCCTGAAATTAGCAAGTTAATTTTGAGGTTGTTAGATGTAAGAAAGAAGATGGGTGAGTGTAAGATGAGCTCTCAGCTGCCAAGGGGGACAAGGTGTGATGGACAACACTTCACCCCCCAGTTCATAAATGTAAAGTAACAAAAGCCACTTGGCCAACAGCATCAGCTAAAATATGTAATTTTTTCCTTGGTTTCACAGAATTTTTCAGTCTTTGTAAGTTAGTGAACTGTATTAAATATTAAATGCCAGTTTTTGGTAAGATTATAAGCATTATTCCTTAACCCACTTCCCGAGCTGATTGTTATAGTAACTTCAATAACATAAAACTATTGCCATCATACATGCATGTGTCAACTCAGCCAGGCAGCAAGTCAGAAAAGTTGGAATATTACTTCATCCACTTACTTTTACACCCAACCAAATCAAGTGTCTGCCATAGTCTCTTATTTGGCACATTACGGCTTCTTCTGCTTCGTTGTGGTGTTGTTGTAGTTATCTCGGTGGTCGTGGGTGTCGGAAGTTCCTGAGATGTCACCTGGATCGGGATCATTGGTAATATTGGCACATATCTCTTCTTGCTTGGCACCTGTACACACACACAATAACACATTATAAAATCCCTGCTTGGAAAATGCCAAGATAATCACTGATGTGATGCTTGCCCCCATCAGAAGTCTCTATGCCAAAGAACAGTTATAACTCTGATAATATTTTTTCTAAAACAATGACAATCAAGCTCAGCCTACATAAGAGTACAGGTATGGAACCATTTATCTGCTGTCCCAGCATTCGGAACGCTGCAAAAACTGGTTATGGTCTTGAACCAATTATTTAATATGAATGCCAAGTAATTCCCAGGCTGAACCGGTATATTTCCAACTGTTCCCCACCTGTGAGCTATATGTTATGTTATGCATATTTTTCATCTTGTAATTTCAGTCAGTAGATTTACATAATTCTTTTTTTTTCTCTTGGCTAAATACACACACAATTCTACATACAGAAAGTGAAAACAAAAAATAATCATACGGTATAAAGTTTTAAGTATCTATGGGTTTCCACTGTGAAAGCGTGTGGTGAATGTGTGGAGGTTGGATGGTCCGTGGCACAGAGTATTGTTGCTAGGGAAGGTTGCCTCTCAGCATCTCTCGGCTGGGCTGGTTGCGAAGGCGAGTGTCAAGGCAGCCAGCGTCCTTGAGATTGCGATGCAGGGTGTACAGTGACTTGAATAATTTTTGCTCTTTTTATACTTCACTATTGCTATTTAAATGCTTTCATTATTGCCATTTATATGCCTATAATTTTAAGTTTTAATATTACAGAGTACTGTACAGGTAAAGATACTTTTAGGAGTGAATCTAGTTATCTGAACAGGGGTTTCACAGCTAGTTACAGAGAGTTTACTGTACATTTTAGACCTGGCCCTCCAAATTCCAGAAAACCTTATCTGGTAACCCCCAGGTTCCAAGCATGCCAGATAATGGTCCCATCCCTGTACATACAGTACAATATATGGTATTATATGTACTTGAAGTTGTACAGAGTACAGGTATTAACTCACTTTCGTCTACAAAACCATTCCCAAGCTGCTCAATGGAAACAAAACTAATGTATTAAAGGAGAGTTGGATGGACTGAGGTAACATGTGTTCCACCTCTCCCACTTTAGATTAAAAATCAGCATGTGAGTGAAGTAAGGGAAGAAGCAGGAGGTACAAGGCAGGTTGTTACAGATGATCAATGTGTGGGGCCTTGTAATGAAAGGAGAACTTGGAGGATGTGTGGAGGCAGACAGTACACAACAGTACATGCTAACTTGCTAAATAGCTTGAAACATTACCAGAGAAATATTACTAGGCAGTCTCCGAGTTTTGAATGGGTTATGTTCCCCGACCGTGTTCTTAAGTCGGAACAGTGTTAATTCCAGTTTAAATGAAGTCAAAACACAACCCTGCCAATACAAAATAACAATAATATCCAGAGTTGTAAAGTAACTACTGGTAAATAAATTTACCTGATTTCTGTACTCATGTAACATTTTTGGGTATTTACTTTTTAAAAGTACTCAAATTTTTTAGTACTTTTACTTAAATATGGTTTTCTAATACTTTTACTCTAATACAATTGAAAAACATAAGTGTGGGTGGATCTGTGATGGCTATGGTGTGGGGAGTCACCAAGCAGTCACATACCTTGAGGTCTTGTGAGGTGACGTCAGGTCAAGTGGCAGTGGCCATGACAGCGAACTTTCCCCTTGATTTTCTTGTGTTCATTAGAGTAACATTTAGCTAATGTAATAATACTATTACTTAAGTAACAATGTCCAGTACTTTTTACAACTTTGATAACATCCCATACATAACAAATAACGTAAATAATGTATATAAAATGATGCTAACAATATAAAGTAATGTAAGAAATGGGATTTTAGTTTCAGATTTTTGTGAGGAATATATTGGGACCCATTCGTAAGGGCAGGTGTTTGTAAATCAGGCGTTCATAACTTGGGGACTGCCTGTATATGAAAAGCCACCAGAAAGCAGAAAATCCTTGGTTCACATTGAATGGATGAAGCACAGTGCAAATTATCAAGTTCTCTTGACTATACTACAAATAAAATTTTCAGGGTGACTCTCTCAATAAAAGTAGGCACCTTCACATCACTTCTGTGGGGACAAGTCATACAGTATTACATCAATTATCTAACAAATGTAGCAATCTAGAAAGTAATCTTAATATGGTAATATTTTTGTGATATCCAACTGCCACTTGATGTGAAACATGCACCAGACACCTTAACCTCTCTTTAGTATATTACCTGCAGAGCACCTTGTTCCCCCTGGCTGTTCACTTGGTCCTGAGCATCATTGTTCTCGGCCGTGTTCTTCAGCCCTTCACTCGAGATGTGACAATTGGTCTCTGCAAAATGTGCAGAATGCAACACTAAACAGTTACAATGCAGGAATAAAAACAACATGTTAATATTGCACATATCCATACACAACAACCTAGATCAAACATAAGGTGAGAGCCCAAAAAAGAAATGACACTTCCTTAAAGTGAAAATGAACTCTTAAAATCATTTAGGTTTGCATCATATCTAACAATCCCATGCATGAGTGTGTACTGATACACTGTAACACCACAACTGAAATAAATTCTTACATAAAAGTATAACATTTACTAGTACTGTACTGTACTGTATTTACCTTTTGTGACACCATCACTGTCCACATCAACACCTTTCCCACTATTCTCACTGACAACACTAATGCCATTTTTAATTTCTTTTGTTTTCTTGGTTTTATTTATTTGTGGAGGGATTTTTTGTATGCCATCCACATTGATTTCTTTTAAAGGTAAGATTGAATTCTGACTAATAGGGATGAGATTGGGTAGGGTCTTATTTTTTTGTTTCTTAGTATGAGGCTTGTTGTCCACCACTTTAGCAGGTGGAGGTGAGGTTGCTTCCAGAAGATAGTTGAGGATGGGGTTAGTTTCTGTTGAGCCCTTCAACGATACCGGGACAGAGATGAAGGTGGTGGTTGGGGTGGTGATGCCTCCAGAGGTCACAGTGGTGAAGCTGGTAGTTTTCTGACCCATCTGTGTGTTGTTGATGGAATTAACTGGAACAAGTTGTACCGGTATCAACTTGACATAGCTGACAGGCCCTGAAGAGGAATTAAACGGCAAGTTGCTAAGTGAGGAAGAGGTGACTGCTGTGCAGGGCGGTGTTCCCGGTAATATTGGTGGCGACACTATTGCAGTAAAAGTTGAAGTGGGTGTTATTGAAGTCTTGTGAGTAGATGGACTGGACACAGGGGTGTTACTTGGGACACTACACTCTGATTTTACGGAGTCAGTCTCTGATGTAGCTTCGATGTTTTCAGGAGAGTTGTTGAGACTTGTTATGGCAGACGCCACAGTCTTTCTTGCCCGAGCGTGTATCGCTCTCACGGACGTGTGCTGCAGCTGACTTCTTGATCTGTCAATAGTACTTACAGGTGCTAAAGGAACACCATGACCCATCCTGTGAGATGTTAGTAGTATCTTGTCAAGAAAAATTGCACCACAGAGATTACACTTATAATTCCATTCATGGTGTCTATGGGTTTCCATGTGAGCTTCTAAACAGATGGCATTAACAAATGTTGTCTTGCATTCAGAACACTGTGGGGGATCCCCATAGTCATCCTTCAAATGTTTATGTTTGTGGATCATCAAACTTTCTTGATCAGAAAAAGTCTCTTCACACAGGTAACACATTAAGGCCCCTCCCATCTTCTCGTCGACAAGACTTAAATTTACGTTGTGTCGGCTTTTGAGGTGTGATGCGAACACTTCCTTGTTCCACTTCTGCAGGCAGAGAGGGCAGGTACGTACTGAAGCATCCTGGTCTGTGTCCCCATTGTGGCGCATGCTGTGCTTCACTAAAAATGTCAACATGGCAAAGGACATCCCACAGTCTCGGCACTTGTATGGCTTTTCCTTGGAGTTAACTGAAAGGGAAACAGTTCCTCAGTTAACATATGTAAATAAACTTAAAATTTACATGAAAAGTAAGTTAAGATTTAACCAATATAAAAAAAAAAACACAGTACAAATCATGTTTTTTTTTTCGAAAATCCTAAATGATTCTATATTTTACGATATGCACTAAAGAGGAGCCTAACAATCAGTGGGAATAAAGAAAAGTATAATCAGAGTATCATTTAACAGTTACTTACCTTCATCCACAATATGAGTGGCTCGCTTTCTCTGTCTGGATCGTTCATTTTGAAACCATATCTTAATCACCTGTGGTTCCAGTTTGGTCAAGTGCCCAATGATCTTAAACATGGAAGGATCGGGGAAATTACAGTACGTGAAGTGTAAGTATAAGGTCCGCAGCTGAACCTCATTAAATACCGTCGTTCTTCTACGGTGCCGTTTCATGTTGTTTAAATCTGTGTCATCTGTTGCGTCTGAAAAGAAAATGAGAAGAAGTATATAAAATCAGTGAGTGACAGTGAACTTGTAAGGAATTCATATAATACACTTTGAGTTGGATATTACATTATAAGCTGTAAATGATTTCTCAATTATTTTACTGATACATGTCTATTCCTCTCTAGGTTCCTGCACCATCATTATTATAATGTTACTTTTTGGCTATAACTGAAATTTACAGCAAATCTCTTCCTGTAATTATATTTTTGAATAAAGTTCTTGAGTATGTATCAAGTGCTCTCAACAGCCAATTCTTTCTTAATACATTATCTTGCAGTATTAAGATCACACATTCTAAGACTTATGGGTACTCTGTGAGTGACCTGTGAAATGACCTGACCACACTGAATACCATCTCTGTGCTTTTCAGAGGAAATTATAAGCAGGTGTACTCGATTGCGTGACTGTCATAAAAGATTTGAAAATCTGCTGAACATATATTACATATTCAACTTTAGTCTTGATCCAATTCAGTTAAAAGAATATTTCCCAAATTTTACAAGCTTTTATTCGTCTCATGTTGTGGCATATTCACTCTATCAGGAACATCTAGAAGTCACTGTCACGTACAGAAAAGATGCATTCCCTAATCTTCGCATAGCTCTTGTGGCTGAATCTGTGGTTTCTTGTGAGTGAACATTTAGCAAGCTAAAAATAATTCAAAACTACCTAAGACCATCTATGAAACTGCAGCACTTTTCAAACATCTCATCACTCTCTATTGAGAAAACGTTTTTAGAAAATGTTGATGCTGACGGCATCATTGATAAATTCGCTGAAATCAATGCACGCAAAGTTTATTTGTAACTTATTCAGTAAAGCTTGAGTTGTAGTCTACTAGCATTGACCTATTTTCAATGTATGCTTCTTTTTTTTTTAAGGGGATTAGCCCACCCGGGCACATGTCACCGACCCACATCGGGGCCTCGGGGGTGAAAAAATAAAATAAAATAAATAAATAAGTAAATAAATTCAGGGGCAGATCTACTGTAGGAATATAAAAATGTAGGGGGGGGGGTTCAAGAAGTTGGGGGAAAGGAAAGTTGTGGGTGGGGGAACATGGCAAGCACAACGAGCCCACCCAGCCGGAGGGTTGGGGGACACAGTGTTAGCCCCCACAGATATTTTTTTTGAAACCTGACCAATATCATGGGCATTTTGAAGCCATGTGCGCTTAATATTAGGAGATATTCTGAGGTCAATAATAATAACTTTTTAATATACAAAAAGGTCTCAGTGCATTACTGCATTAAAGAAAAAGTATTAACATTTTCTGAACCCCCAGGACCACCTCCCCTGGATCTGCCCCTGATATTAAACCAAAAATAAATACAGAAATTAAAAAAAAAAAAAAAATCAAGAGTGAGAAATTATATATATTCTGTGTTGTCAAAGTAAGACCCTGCAATTGTGTGTAAATGAGGCAGAAAGTCAGATCAGGAACCTGGGACTTGGTCAAAATTTTTGTGATGCCATATGGCAGCAGGGTCTACCATTAGACGACACATTATGCTTCCAATATCTTCCCAGGTAGTACCCCCTGTTTGATAGCTGCCTACTACCAGTATTTATCATATGTAAGTTTATAAAGCTTGATGTGTAGCTATTAATGACTCTATTAATCAGAGTTCAATGAAATAAAGACAAATTTATTTTTTAAAGACATAGACAGATAGCATGAACCTAATACCAAAGTTCTCTGGAATTATAATATATTTTGAATTTGGATAATGCTTTAGTTAAATTTTATATGAAGGATTATGTACACATTGTTTGTACAAGTTGTCTAGTTTAATGAAATAGAGACAAGTTTTATTTAATAAATTGTAGTTCTCAGTTTTTGTGAACCATATGCCTGTAATAAACAGTAGAGTAGTTTAAGCCCTTAGATGATTGCAATCACTTATTCATATTAATCTGGCTAGCATCACACCTTTTCATTACCTTAGGAGAAACACTGTACAGTTTATTCCAAGGGTTACAAAACGATTTCAATAATTAACTAGGACTATGACCAACAGCAAGTTAGTATTTGCTTCATGTCTGTCTATATATTATCTATCTGTCCATCTATCTATTTAACTATCGAGAATTTAAACTTGCGAGCGGAAATAAGGGGGAGGGGTGCCAATGGCAAGTGGCACTTGAGACACGCTACACCTCTGATCAAACCCCTGACCCCGGAAACAGAAGGCAAGTGTTGTATCCACTTGACTGCCGGGCTCCAAGTCAGTAACCACAATACAGTGCAGTAAATAATTTAGGTGATTCATAATACTGTAATTAGTAATTTATATGGCTGAATTCTTCAACAGATTGTTCACATTTTTTACTCGAAAACCAGAAAAAATTAAGATTATACAGTATATATATGTATATAATTACTTGGAAATATAAAGTGCAGAAGTTATAAATCCTAACTCATCTGAACGTACGTACACCTTGTGGCTACTATGAAACAGCCATTCCAACTATCCATGAAAAATAACAAAGAGGGTGTGGGCACCTACCAGCCTCATTATTCTTCTCTATCTTCCGTCGCTGTTCTTCCTGGTGTCGGAGAATGGCCTCTATCTGTTCTTGCATAGACTCTCTCTCTCTGAATGCTTCTGAGGCAGCATCTGGGTCAGGTTTGATTCCAGTAGGTGTTTTCCATGTAGACTTGAGACCATGGCTTTGAAGTATGGCGGTGATTTGGTCTTGCAGTGTGGAGGGCTGCTTCTCTAGGGCAGGATCCTTCACCTCTTTCTTCACCCTGACTTTATTTTCCTCCGAGCTCGACGCCGGCACGGGGAATATTGTTAAACCTCCGAGAGTAAGTGATCCCTTTGGTTCTTCTGCTTCTTCTTGTTGTTGTGTCTGGTGCTGTAATAGGAGCTGTTGCTGTATCTGTTGCTGGAGTTGTAACTGCAGCTGTTGCATCTCATTTTCTTCATCTTCTTCATTTTGTTGTTTTTCTTCTGGCTCATTTTCTTTTTCTGTTTGATCGGCTTCTTCTTGCATTTCCTTTGCTTCTTTCTCTGAATCTTTTGATTTTAACTTGACCTTCTGTGCTTGTTGAAGTTGTGCCAAGAGCAACTGCTGCATCAATCGCTGTTGCTGCTGTTTTATTATTAAGGGGTTATCTTGTAACTGTGAGAGTGTTGTAGGATCTATTAGCGGTGGAGGAGATGATGGAGATTCTTGCTGCTGCTGCTGTTGTTTCTGTAACCTCTGCAGCAGTAAGAGAGGTAAGGCAGCCTGGAGTTGGGTTGCAGAGTTTTGTTGGTTGATTGCCGAGTCCTTTCTAATTTTTTTAATGTTTCTCTTTCCCTGGAGGTCACTGTTGTCTCCGCATTCATCTTCGAGGTGAGTCAGGTCAACACCCGTCTTGGAGCTGCACTTGGATATCTTGTGAGTGTCAAGTAAGACCCGATGTGTGAACCCCATGTTGCAGTGAGGGCAGTACAAGGTCTCTCGTTCATGTGCCTCTTTATGGCTGTCTAAAAACCTGAAGAAAAATATAAAGGAATTATATCTAAGAAATTTGTGGGAGAAACAAAATAAAAACAAAACTAGAAATGTCAACAGCATACTTAATAAGATACCCTCATTGTCCCACTTCTCCTGGTTTCTATATGCATGTAAGATACACAACAACTTACTTTTTTGCAATAAATGTAGATGGGCAGAGAGTACAGTACCAACGAGCGTCAGGATCACTGGCGTTCTTGATAACTTTGTTGTCTCCCGGGGATGCACCTGTGATAACCAGATTATATATGTCAGTTTCTGAGTTGATGTGGATATAATATTATCCAACTCACACTCTTGACTTAAGAATTAGTATGTAAATATCTAACCTTTTTCCTTTGGTGACAGGCGCTTCCGGATACTAGCTCGTCTATTCTGAAACCACATCTTGATGCTGCGGTAAGGAGTTTTGATCCGCAGAGCAATGCAGTGTTGGTCAATGGGCTCAGGAAAGTTGTTGTGTTCAAATGTTGTCTGTTGAGCATAAAGTAGTTTAGCTATGTGTATCAAAACCCCAGAAAAGTCACAACTATTGGCAGTAATATATCTACAGTAAACAGTAATCTTGACTGAAATATTGCACAGCACTAACTAGGCAAGTTTTAGGCTAAATAACCAATATTTAACTCTTCATTACTGAATGTTCTAATAAACTCAAACTGAATGATTTTTCCTGAAGATCCTCCTTCAAACACCTCCAAGGTCCCTTCAGAAGTCTGTACGATTTTCTAAAGAAAACCTATCACCTGTATTCCTTTACCTGATTTCTTTTAGTACAGTAATGTACATCTCTCCACAATTCTCCACACAAACACTCCCCTATTCTGTCTTTCCACTGTACAGTACACTTAATAAGTATTAAATGGAACTTCTCTGCATATCAAGTTAAAAGAGCCCCGACGCCCTATTATGCTATCTCTAATAAAAAATTTATTATTGATGGACTATTCTAATTAATAACCTTGTCATATGCATAAAGACCTTAGTTGTTGAAGCACAGTAATAACATAAAACATCAATGATGATGTTAATGCATGAACATTATGTCTGTGGCAGTGACTTTGCTTCCAGATAAAGTTTCTGTGTAATCTTCCTGTGTTCCTGATCCCCATCTTTTCTAGTACATTCAATTTTTCGGGCTTTCAATATTTACTCATGATATTATCCCAACCTCACTTGACTGAGACTCTAAAACAAGAAACATACCTCCAGCACTTTATACTGCTTTTCATTGAATGCGGTCCGCTTGCGCTTGAAATGCATCTCTCCAACTTGACCAGACTCTAAGGCAAATAAAAGAAAAATGAGACAAATTTATCACAGGCAGAAAAAGAAGGCATTAGGCAGATCCAGGAATATCAAAAGGAGGGGATCCAAGAAGTTGTGGGTGGGGTAACATGGCAAGCACAGCAAGCCCACCCAGTGGGGGGCTGTAAGCCCCCCAGAATGTTTTTTCTGAAATCTGACCAATAACATGGGCATTTTCAGGCCATTTTGAAGCCATGTGCACTTGATATTAGGAGATATTCTAAAGTCAATAGTAATTACTTTTCACTATACAAAGATGCCTGAGTACAATACTACATTAAAGAAAATTATTGGAATTTCCTGGTGAAATGGGGCAGGGGGGGGGGGTCCAGATCCCCTGAGGAGCCCCAACCCTGGATCCGCCCTTGAGAATACCATCCCTGAAATTAGTTCAGGCTGAGGCTTCCTATGAGTGGGGGCCCTCAACCAGTGACCATGCTTTTAACTAAAATCACATCCAGCTACATTTAGGTCACTTGACTATTACATTGACCAATTTCATCTCATAATAAGGGGTATATATATATATATATATATATATATATATATATATATATATATATATATATATATATATATATAATATATATATATATATATATATATATATATATATATATATATATATATATATATATATATATATATATATATATATATATATATATATATATATATATATATATATATACTGTATACTTTTAAACAAATGTAAGAAATACATAAATGATGATGAAAGTTTTAGAAAATATGTTAACAGGTGAATATGCAGTGAATATGAAATTTTATAGAGGAAAAAATAAAGGGAGCCAAACTTGGATCCCATATACAGTACAGTACTATGAAAGTTGTATACAGTAATAATTTTTTCTGTATTTCACAAAGCCGATCTAATTCAAGGAGAAAAATTAGTTAAACATTCAAAAGATTTCAGTACATATACAGTGTCGTAGTGAAGACAATTCTGATATCATAGGTACTGTACAATCACCCACACAAGTCCTGTCACCTCTCCTCCTGAACCACGAACCTCAAGATTCAGACTCATTAATTGGAAGTATTTATGGATACAATAATCATCAGTGTCTGTAGGACTTCTGTGGTTGACTGTACATCAACATAAAGAAGGGGGTCAGCTACACCAAAAACTTAAGTATTACAAATACTCTTACACGGACCTTGGGAACCTCATGCTACATTAACCCAATAGTTCGTAACTTTTCATGGTGCCGATACCCCTTGACTTCTTGGAACATTTTCCCGTACCGTTTTCCAAAAATAAGTTCTTTATTTTCAAAGCAAATTCACAAATACAACTGAAATGGCACAAAGCCACACTTAGAAGTGGCTTAAATCTATTCAATAATACAACCAATCAACGACCACACGCTTGTCATAACTTGCATCCAAACGGTTTCAGGCCTGATTTAATGTACAGTAGCGTTGAAAAACCTTCCATGCATAAGTATGTGGTTGATGGTATGAGGATCTCCAGAGCTCTCTTCACCAATTGAGGGAACGTTTTGAACTGAGCACACCAGAAGTGGTCAAGCTGCACTCATGCTAACGCCATCTCAATTCTTTTATTAGTCTGCAGTCCAAGGTCATCTTTCATCATATCACTGTTGTCCAAGGAATCCGGAGTGAAAATAAAAGAATCCTGAATCCATTTGTGTGCTACAGAAACATCACCATGGGAGAAGTAACCTTGGAAGGAATAAATCAGTTCCTGCAAATGCTGTCACCTTAGTCACGATGGCTATTCCTTCTTCCTCCGCACCAACAGTCTCATCAAGCAAAGGAAAGTTAGCAAAATTTCCATTTTCAATGTGTTTTATCCAAATTGAAGGTTTCTTGGTGAAGGTAGATAACTTTTCTGTGGCTGTGATTATGTTCAACGAGTAAATTTGTAATAATGGAAGTGAATTAGCCGGTATATTTGGTACCCTGGGTTAAGAACCACTGCTTTAATCTACATAAATTAAGATAATTATTCATTTTATGAAAGCAATTTTTTAACTAGATAAAAAAAATTTCATCAGATAACTTCCTCATAACTGTACCTTCACGATTTTCACTGTTGTTGCTCATACTAGAGGCTGGGCGCTTGCGTTCATTCTTGACCTGGGGGGTGATGGTGATCTGGGGCATGGTGGTGGTGTTGGAGCTTAACTGTGATAACATCTGCTGCTGAAGCTGCATCAGAAACAAAAATTTCATAATATTGGTATTGTAAAAAGGAATGTGGGCATATCTAGCTCACATGATAAGGTGTCTCACATAAATCAATTTCTCTATATCTGTGATGCATGACTCCCTGTGGGGGTTGGTTAGGTCAGGTTAGCTTTGGTTAGGTAGAGCATGTTTAGAGTAGGTAGAGCATGGTTAAAGTAGGTTAGGTAGAGCAAGGTTAGGTTTATTTAAGAGTAAGTTAGATTATGATACGATTAGGTTAATGCCATACAGTACTTAAATTAGTTTAGATTAAATCATCATGACAGGCCATCAGTTCAGCCACTCATCATCTCCATAGTTTTCAAATGTTAAAGCCTAAACAAACTTTTAAACTGTATTTCAAGAACTGTCCCCAAATAAAATTACATCTCAATAACAGAAAAAACAATCAAAACAGATGAAAATTATATCTCCTTGACAAAAAGAATCAAACTCCCCAAAGAAACAGAAGAAGATCTATTCAATGATATGCCCGAACTCTGACTGTTTCAATACATATGTAAGTAACTCCGCTTTACAATGCTTCCCGTTATAATACTGTCACAACGAGGGAAGTATTACATCTCTACTTGTATGGTACCCAAATCATTAGGTGTCTTAATTTCACGAACATTAGGTGTATTAATTTCCCGAACATTAGGTGTATTAATTTCCCAAACATTAGGTGTCCTAATTTCCCGAACATTAGGTGTCTTAATTTCCCGAACATTAGGTTTCTTAATTTCCCGAACATTAGGTGTATTAATTTCCCAAACATTAGGTATCTTAATTTCCCGAACATTAGGTGAATTAATTTCCCGAACATTCTGAAACTTGAATCTTTATATACTGTACAGGTGGTGACGGAGATAATTAAAAACTACACATAGGTCCAGGGTGGATGTGACGATGAATGGAAACTTTATCTCTTCTGCTCCTAGGGTGACTATGGCATGAGTTTTAAGCTCGGGGAGGGGGAAGAACGGAGGAGAAAGAGAGGAAAAAGGAGATAGTGGAAGGTAACAGAGAGATAGTGGAGGGTAACAGAGAGATAGTGGAGGGTAACAGAGAGATAGTGGAGGGTAACAGAGATAGTGGAGGGTAATACAGAGATAGTGGAGAGTAACACAGAGATAGTGGAGGGTAACACAGAGATAGTGGAGGGTAACACAGAGATAGTGGAGGGTAACACAGAGATAGTAGAGGGTAACACAGAGATAGTAGAGGGTAACATAGATAGTGGAGGGTAACACAGAGATAGCGGAGGGTAGCAGAGAGATAGTGGAGGGTAACACAGAGATAGTGGAGGGTAACAGAGAGATAGCGGAGGGTAGCAGAGAGATAGTGGAGGGTAACACAGATAGTGGAGGTAACAGAGAGATAGTGGAGGGTAACAGAGAGATAGCGGAGGGTAACACAGAGATAGTGGAGGTAACAGAGATAGTGGAGGGTAACAGAGAGATAGGGTAGCAGAGATAGTGGAGGGTAACACAGAGATAGTGGAGGGTAACACAGAGATAGTGGAGGGTAACAGAGATAGTGGAGGGTAACAGAGATAGTGGGAGAGGTAACAGAGATAGTGGAGGGTAACAGAGAGATAGTGGAGGGTAACAGAGAGATAGCAGAGGGTAACACAGAGATAGTGGAGGGTAACACAGAGATAGCGGAGGGTAATACAGAGATAGTGGAGAGTAACACAGAGATAGTGGAGGGTAACAGAGAGATAGTGGAGGGTAACACAGAGATAGTGGAGGGTAACACAGAGATAGTGGAGGGTAACACAGAGATAGCGGAGGGTAACAGAGAGATAGTGGAGCGTAACACAGAGATAGTGGAGGGTAGCAGAGAGATAGTGGAGGGTAACAGAGAGATAGTGGAGGGTAACACAGAGATAGTGGAGGGTAACACAGAGATAGTGGAGGGTAACAGAGATAGTGGAGGGTAACACAGAGATAGCGGAGGGTAACACAGAGATAGCGGAGGGTAACAGAGAGATAGGTGTATTAACAGTGCCAGCGCAAGATGACGCTAACCTGCTGAAACTGAGCCATAACTCCCGCCTGGTACTGTAGAATGTGAGAAACTACCGTCTGTTGTAGCTGGTTCAACTGAGCCACGACAGCCTCCTGCGGCACCGTGGAGGTCGACGGTGGCGGCGATGCTTCTCTCTCTCCTTCTTCATCTTCCTCCTCCTCCTTTTCCTGTTTTATCACCACTACCTTTGCTGACTTTGCCTCCTCCACAGGGTTCTCCTTCTCTTCTTCTTCTTCTTCTTCTAGTTCTTCCCTCTTCACGACAATCTCTGCTTCTCGCTCTAAAATTTGTTCCTGTGCCTGTTTCTTTTCCATGCTTTTTTTCCTCTTGCTGCGCTGCCTCTTCTTCATGAGTGCAACTGTTTGGGTTCTCTTACTCCTAAGTCTTCCCTCTCACTGCCATCTGTCCTAAGACCCCAAAGGGACTCTGCAAAAATAGAGGCTAATTAGCTATATCAGACATTGTGATATGAAAGATACCTTATAACACCACACTTAATGTTACATTTTGTACAAAAAAAAAAAAGAGTATCAGTAGCCAGTCCACACATGACTGGATACCAACTATTGCAGTTCCTGTACTGTATTTGTTTTTATGTTATAAATTTCCTACTATGTACTGTACAGTTGTACCCAGCTTAACGCGGTCAATTGAACCCACAGGGTACCGCGTTAAGTGAACAACAGAACATATGGGATTAATTCCAATAGAGACTGGCCCGACCCCCAAACTCCACTTTTTGACGACACACAACTATGTTGTAGTAAAAATATTATCTTAACTTTATGATGGTATGCACACACAATTAATAATTAAGAGAAATATCAATAATATTAGGTTTTTTAACACTTACATTAGTAGAAAAGATGGCTGGGCACACGGGATGGGGGGTTGGTTCCGAGGCAGAGGGCAGATTATTGGCCCTCACCTGTATCACTTGTATCAATTGTATCACTATCCACCACAGAGGCTTGCAGGGCCTCTTTGTCAAACCCCTCAAAGTCCATATAAGTCCATATCCTCACTATAATTATCACTATCACTGACTTGGGCCGGCTGTGGTGGGTGGCGGGTGAAGAACTCGGTAATGTTTTGATGACTGGGCGACCTTGTGCGCATCGTGCCTGCGCCGCTTCCCGCGTATATGAGTAGATGAACCGCGTTAAGTGAAAGTTCGGTTCTGGCGAGGCACCGCTTATATGAGAAATCGCGTTAAGTGAAACCGCGTTAAGCGGGGTACAACTGTATATGATGCCAGCCAGTCAAAGAGGTGCTCATGTCTTGAGTCTCAACATTCAGCTGTTTGTAGGTTATTCCACCCCTTTGGCAGAAAGCTAGATCACGCACAGGTCGCACATCACCCGATAGTGGAGCTACAGTCTAGTACAGTATTCACTTCATTGCCGAGGATGTAAGGGGATGGGGTTAATATGTTCTTGGTCTTACCAAGTCAGTGTCTTTTTAATTGCTGAAGACCTGTAGGCTATGGTATGGGGTGTGAGAGTCATTGTAAGAATTGAGAAGTTCCAGATTTGTAAACATGATATAAATACAGTGTCCCCAGAAAATATTGATTCCAATTATGTTATAAAAAGCATTATAAATTAACCACTTGTGTACGGGGCCCCTCTCTCTGCTGAATAAAATCATCTGGCAATACCCAAAAAAAAATAAAATAAAAAAAATTGGCATCAGCGTAAGGAAGTGGTTAAAGCTGGAAGATGGAGTGAAACTGACTTTATGCCAACTTAATGGTGCCACAGGCCTCTATGCATAAGATTCCCACATGGTGGTTGTCTTTAGCTACAGTCTGAACAAGGATAAAACACACACACCACCATACCAGAACAGTCACCATGGGTCATAAGAACATTACTGGTGTGGAAAAGACTCACATCCTTGCACTGGTGGGTGAAAATATTCCTCTGAGGGAAATCCAGGATGAGGCATAGCAAATATTAAGACTTAAGCAAGCAGCACATAATTTTCTAGAAATTCTATCAAATCTCAGAAATTGTCTTTTGAGAGACCTAGGTAGACCTTAAGAGATGAGAAGTGTTGAAGATTCTGACAGTGTCTGCAGAACAAAGAAGAAAGTCCCCCCCCTAAATCTCCTTCAGTTTGTATCAGAAAAAATGATTCAACACAAAATGCAAAGGAACATGCCATCTCATCATGAGTACCTCAACTGCAGGAGGAGACCAAGTACAGTACCAGGTACAGATCTGGGCAATGGAGATGGGTTGTGATTTTTTTTTTTAAGGGATTAGCCCACCCAGGCACAGGCCACTGACCAACATCAAGGCCTGGGGAGCAAAAACATAGCAATAACAATGATAATAATAATAAAATAATAATAATATAAATAAATTATTAAAAACAACAATAATAATAATAACACACCATGTAATAAATATTATTATTATAATAATAATAATAATAACAATAATATAATATAATAATAATACCCTGTATTAAAGATCCATCTATAAATACAAAAACGAAAAAAGAAAAGATCAAGAGTGACAACGATACAGGTATATGTATGTTGTGTTGTCCATAGTAAGAGAAACAATTGAGACCCTGCAATTGTGTGTAAATGAGGCAGAAAGTCAGATCAGCAACCTGGGACTTGGTCACAATTTTCGTGATGCCATATGGCAGCAGGGTCTACCATTAGACAACACATTATGCTTCCAATATCTTCCCAGGCGGTAGTACCTCCCTGTTTGATAGCTGCCTACTACCTGGTGTACTGTATTTACAAACACTTGCTGAATCTATACTAAACCAAAGGTAAAATGACAAAGTATTACAAGTTACATGTGTTTCATCCATACTTTTGTTAAGTCATGTAAAAATATCACAGGGAATCTAGGGATCAATATCTTCTGCAGACACTGTACTGTATGCTTCTAGTGAACAAACTGTGGTTTTAAATAAATTATCATGGTGGCATCCCTGAAATAAGGCAATTACAAACTGTGAATACAGTACTGTACAAGAGTATATTACATATATTAGTTATCAGTGACATATAAATGTGAAAATATGACACCAGATCTATTATACAGTATTAAGATTTCAATGCAAAGGTGCGAGTTTTTACAGGTGGTACAGTGTTTACCTCCTAGAAGTTCTCTAGTCAGAGCATTTTGAGTTCATATTCTTATCAATAGTCTGAAGGTCATTGTTGGACTTTCTATAGGATGGTAAATCACCATAAATGTTGACAAATATACATAACCCCACGATGAGGAGAGAAACAAAATCTACAAAAGGAAGAAACAGTGTTGGAAGTTGCCAATTTGGGGGCAGTAAAGCTTGAATTGGGTCAGCAAATTTTTTAACTAATCCAGCCCTAGGTAGCTACTTGTTGGTTGTTAAAAGGTTGAAGCACATAGGAGAAGGCAAGAAAGATCTTCTAAGGAAAATTTTTAAATCATTGCAAATCCATATATTCTATTGCAAAATCAAATATTCACACAGACTGGGAGAAACTGTATACAGTATTATGAAATTAATATATACCGTACTCGTACAGCACTGCTATTACAAACAGCTGGTTTACCCATTTTCAAAATGCAAAGATCATGAACATCACTTGAACTTTAAAATCCCTGTAAGTGACAAGTGCACTGTATAAGAGATACAGTATACAGATATTTCTTAACACTGATATAAATTTAACAATAATTAAGTACAATTTTGAGTTTGGTATATGTAGCTAGCTTTAAGACAGTGGTTTACCGTCACCAAACTTCTAGATGGTACATCCAACTTATGTTCATGTAAAAATGAGAAACAGCGATATGAATTTTTTACAAACTAAGGCAAATCAGGCAACTTTTTTAACAGGGGAAGAATTCAATTAACATTAACTAATTTTTGCAACATATTAAAGTTTTAAAGCTCAGTGTTTTATCATACTTTTCAATAAAACACTCAAGCCTTTAGGACATTTTTAAATGTATAAAAAACTAGACAACTCAGCTGGGGACACAATATTAGAAGACCGTGTACTGTACTGTATATTATTCAACCTTGTTCTGGTAGAGTACTTCATATGTGCATGGAAAATGTATCAGCTTTTTAGATAAGAACATAAGCAAACTTTACATTGCTAATACAGCATGTAAATAATCCGAATGCAGGCAAGTTACGAACAAAATATATTCGGTAGGGTTAGGTTAGGATTACTGTATACCCTAACAAAACCTTACCTGACTTGTTCAAAAATATTATGCAAATACTGTATACCTTAAAATGTCTGCAAGATCTATATTGGCCTGTTCTATATTAGCATAATGCAGTCTTAAAAACATAACAAATTCCAAAATTCCTCAAACCATAAATTGGCAAACAGTCATGACATCTAGTACTGTAGTTATGTGGAGCTAGAGTTTGCGCCTCTTTATTTAAATCTTTCGTCAATACATACTGTATCCATGTACAGTACAGAGCTCACATTCCAACTACTGGTAGATATTTTGGATCTTTTCCCATATTTGGACTGTAGCCAATTCTTTTGAAAATTAGCTTATTAACTGTTTCAATTCAAAATGTAGAATTATGCAAAATTTGTCTTGCATTAGGTTTGTTCTCCTTTAGTTAATGAGCACAACCACAAGAAAACGATCTGGAGTTGATTGAAAATGTCCTAAGGAGGGCTACCAGACTGGTGCTTACACTCCAGTACCTCAGTTATCCAGAGAGATTAGAATACCTGCAACTGCCTAGCTTACAGTATACTACAGATGCATAAGGGAAAACATAATTGAGGTGTATAAACATCTCAAAGGGCACTACTCAGTTGAGTGTCCATACTCGGAGCTGTGGACGTCCACCCCACAAGGGGCCACAGCTGGGTTGTGCAATATGAATGCGTGCACTGTATAGTACAGTAACTGCATACCGTAATTATGCATGTATCTTTTCAACTGTTCATTTTCGTAAAAAACAAAAACATATTTTATGTCGGCATAAAATTCTACATTTAGTAGGCCCATTTAAAAAAAATAAATAGAGTCCGAATTTTTGAAAAGTTCCGATACTTTAATTATACCATTACTTAAGCTCGAAAGACTTTCCAAAATGAAAAGGAAAATTATTGCTTAAGCAATAATTTTGAGTAAGTCACAACACACAGGTAACTAATCAGCTGAGGTTTACAACTTATCACCTGCATGCTGGTGAGATACTGTACAGTATTTCATAAATAATACAGTAGTGATGATATTTTGAAGGACTGCCCTATCTTCCTTTATATTATTTAATTTATATGCAGAGTACTTGAGACTCCTGCCAGATGCTTCTGGCAACATTGTACAGAGGTACCTAGTGACAGCACTTGGATCCCATTTCCTATATGAAATAAACTGTTGAAATTGAATTGATGTTTACGAAATAGTTTAATTTTAACACAGTAAATTTCAGAAAAAAGAGAAACAGCTCCTTAATATTTAATTTTACAACATTCGAAGGAAGACTTGTAGAATGTGATCATAAAAATAAATGTTCAATACTGTAGCTACGATACCAGTACATCTATATGGTTGGCTTGCACAAGGTCATTGACCTCTCACACAGCACAATGGACACCATGAGTTTTCATCTAACCTTTATATTGATAAAATTACACAGTACTGTAGTGTAAACCTAAATACTCCCTAACAAATTACAAGATGCCAAGTTATGCACCTCTGGAAAGGTCAAATCTTCTAGAAAATGCCCTCCTCTTAGATTGGAACCTTTGGAATTCAATCTATCTATTCCCACCTGTGAAAATATTGCCCAAAGTGGTGCACAAACTCAGATCCTTCCGAGGCAAAGTCCTCTTAATTGCACCATATTGGATGTGTGTTTCAATGCATAAAAAGAAAGTCCAGTACTGGAATAGGTAAAAAATGCACGAAGATTAAAAACAATATTTAAATTAAATGAGCGAATTTTCAAAACTAACAATGAAGATCTTGTCACACTCCATAACAAGCTTGTGTGATTAAAACATTATCTAAAGTAAACTAACCAATCCTAACAAAGATCACAATTTATTCTTAGTTTGATTTGGCAAGATTTTGTCATCTGCTCTTATTAATGTTAAAGATCTTATCAAACAATGACAAGAAATATTATGGTATCCTTAACCTTTAGCTACCAAATGAAACAGTAGTTATTACACCGTTAACCACTTTACTACGGGGACACCACTGTTGATAATTAATTTAGCTAACACCAGACGATTTTATCCAGCTCAGAGGGATACCCATACACGAGGGGTTAAACAGGACCTGAAGTGTTACCTGGCGAGCAAACATTCCTAGTCAGGCTAAATCCACACCTGCAACAGTGCTAAGCAATCACTTGTATTAATTAATCCTGACCTAACTTGTAATTCCTAGCAGAAGTTAACTGATGGCAACATATGGTATGTGTTAAATGTTATGCTCCTCTTCAGTATCACTAAGAACCACATCGTGAGAACCAATCTAGCTATGGACTTCCGGCAAGAATTTCTTCACATTCTTATTCACATTTCCCATTCATAATGTCACTTGGCTAACATGAGTTCAATGATCTAATGCTGCTTCAAAAAAATATTCTTAATCAAGACTTAATACTAAATAAACATAGTTGATTGTAATACTATATTTATTCTTTCTATTATCAAAAAGTAATGTCATTTGTTGCCACTGGAATAAGGACGTGTTTTCTTTGGAATACCGATTGATATGTTTTGCGTTACTGCATGGAATGCAAAGCTAGTGTCAAAGAAAGACAAAGACTTTTTTACTTAAGAAACAGCAAGTACGAGATGTCATGCAACTTTCTGTGTTCTGCATTTTGATAAAATTAACCCAAAATAATCACAAAACTATGTTCCATATCTGCAACAGTGAACCACTAGGAGACTGCTTAGTGGTTCATACCTGCTACTATCAGATGTAGTTGAATGATTCTTTATTACCAAAATGATGAAGTGCTAGGGCAGGATGGCCTAATTTCCAATTCTTAAGTAAATTAGCAATTGTCCTTTCCTTGCTTCAACACAATTTTTTTTATTTTAAGCATCCAAACAAATACTCCAGTGAAAACACCAAAGAAAACACACTGCAGTAATATTATGGTGGCAAGTCTTGAAACAGTACACCTGTAGTACTATATTACCCAAAATGGTAGGAAAATATAAGCAAATTGCCCAAGAAGTCACTCTGTTTATGTTTGTAATTAACCTGTATTGGACTATATAATGATATGGATTCTATAATATTGTGAGAGCTATGTAAACAACACAATCATGATGTAAGTGTGAAAAGCCAGCCAACTGAAGGGACATACAATACTAATTGTCTAAATATGTACTGACAACAAAAGCAAATTCTATCAAAATTTTCCTAATCCAATGAGAAATTTATGTAACACTAAAAAATCTGAAATTATAATGCTATTCCACAATATCTTACTTACCAAATGTGTATTTATGACAATAAAATCCACCTTTAGCTCATTAAACAATCACAAAATACTATAAATTAGCAGCAGTTGTACCAACCACTGAACAACAACACGATATATGATTTCCTTCATTATCCGATATTTTTGTATAATATTCTTTCTTCATTTTCCTCATAAATTATCAATTCTGATGTCATTTAAGTCTTCGGAAGCACAAATTACATCACGTCACAGAAACAGATCAACGCTGTCAAAAATGGCAATGCGTCCATTGGTTTACGAGCATTGCCAGAGTGACCCATAACCCTTGACATTTTACCTCACTACACTTCCTTATTATTTCCCTCACTCCTCACCTCTCTCGGTCTACCCACGCCTCCTCGGTTCTATAATTCACACTTTAATCATGATGGGAGTCTCTATGGGTGTGATAAAAATGGTTGTTAGAGGCGGGGATGGTGATAATGTTGCAGACATTCCTGGCCAGGTGAGAGAGAATCACCTGGGTTGCAGCTTTATCTTAAAACCCCAATGTAAACAAACCGCCCAACACCATCACGTGACACTAATTCACTCTCCTCTAAGCTTCCTCGGCTTCACACTAACCTCTGCATGCCTACAATGACATCATGGAGGTGCAAATGACCAGCGTGTCACCAAACTATGGCGAGCAAGGACAGCGCTGTCCAACAAGGTAGTGGAACTGAGTCGTCAAGTCCACAATTACGGCGAACGACTCAGTCCGTTTGTCCCCTCACACCTCTGTTCTCCTGCTTCATCCCCCTAATTATCACCTCCTTTATCCTCATCTTCTAATTATATATGATAAATATAATATGTAAATTTATTTGTTAGTGGTTTAATTAATGGGATCGGAGGGGTAAATTACGTTATGGTTAATGATCAAGGGGTGATGCGAGGGTCGGGACGCGGGCCGTCGTTAACCACCGGCGCGGATTGGCCGTAACAACCCACGTCCGAGTGTGCGCACATAGGCTTCAACTACCTGCTTCTGCGCCAACCTATCACCATTGTACCATTCAACCAACTAACCACCCAGTTGCAGTGGCCGTCGGGACCGCCTGGATCAATAAGGAATATCTGCAATGGTCATGTAAGCGCATTCTTAAAACAGTCCGTCCCGAGTTTAATGTGACGTTATACAAGTACTCGGGAGTTTGATGGTGGTCGTGACGTGGTTGGTGGTTATGAATAGACTTGGGGTCCTTCCCGGGGTAACAGCCAACCACCCAGCCCAATATTACACCGTCTTTTACCGCCTTTCCCCGTCAACGATGAGTACGGCAGCTTAACGATCGAACACACGGGCTCGTATATTGAAAGAGATGACCTTGCACATTCTACTAAGGTTTCTCAGATCGGGTGACCTCACTCTCAAGCAGGATTGCAGGGTATTTGTAGGTGTTTAAACCTCTAGAGTGGAGTGTGGCGGCTCACCTTCATTATGCTGTACATGAGACTTATTTATGGTGCTTTATTCGTTTATCATTAGTATATGTATTGGAAGTTCGTTTAAAATGACCAGGAATAACCGTTGATACATTTCTTCTTTTTTTACCGGGATACAAAAACACGGAAAACGGGTTTAACATCAGTGCTTCATTATCACTCTTAAAGATTATTAAATTCACTTCGCTCGGAATTTTAACGATAAAAAGTGTTGAAAAAAAACAATAATTCATACAATTGATCCACTTGTAAAAATTAAATAATTACATATATTTGTGATAATGTTGACAATCACTGAACATCCTGTACTTGCATCATTTCGTGCGGCACTGCCATTAGGAAGCTAAATACAGTTTCATAAGACCACTTCCGATAGTGTAATATTTTCCGAGAGTATTTCCAAGGTGTAGACTTGGGTGGGGTAGGTAAGGGCGTAATGACTATTTTAAGTCCAACTATTAATACCTCGCAGGCACAGGATGTGTGAGGGTAACACCACCATCACTCATGCCTCCTTTTATTTCACCACAAAGACACAAACTCTATAGCTTCCCAGTGGATGATGCTTGGCTATATTACATCTGGGTCACTTAGAGTGCTGTGGCATTAAGGTGCACTCAGGTGAAAGCGAAAGTTTGCCTGTTTGAATATCTGGAGAAATCTAGCGCGCTTTCTCTGAGCAAACAGATTCGACTTAGCTCCTTGTCATCAATGATGACTCATCATCTGCTATCTTACTCCTAGTTAAAACTCGTCTTATGTCTAGATTCGTACGTTTGTCATTGTTTCACTGTTGTATCTATCCATGTATGTAGTCCACACCAGAAGTAAAATAATTACAATGGCAGTACACTCAAAATTACTTTTATCCTCGTCACCACTGATCGGCTCGTTAGCCGCTTGTTTACGCATCGCAGAATTACTTCCAAGGCAAGGCCTTTGTTCAAACCAAATTAGTACATTTTTAGGTAATTAAGCCAACACTGATGCGGTGATATACTTATTAATCAATTGTAAATCTGGTATAGCAATTTATATTTATTAAACAATCTGAAAGTTGGATAGTTCTAATTTATTAACGAACTGGGGCTGGTTGAAGGAGCTAGGTACAGTAAAGTAATCAAAAACAATAACAGAAAAATGAATAATAATTATGATAATAATAATAATAACAACAACAACAACAACAACAAAAGCAACAACAATAATAATAATAATAATAAAAATAATAATAATAATAATAATAATAATAATAATAATAATAATAATAATAACAATGATAACAATGACGATGTTGATAATAATTACAAAAACAACAATAATAGTAATAATAAAAATGACAATAATAATTATAACAAATAATAATAATAATAATAATAATAATAATAAAAAGTGAACAACAACACGTATATGTGTGCGTGTGTGCATGTATATGTACGTGTACATGTATATGTGTATGTATATACGTATATGTATGTATATGTGTGTGTGTGTGTGTGTTTACATATATGTATATGTACTGTCAATGAATATGATGCAACTCTTTGTGTACGAACCTCTGTCCTGCATGGCAGTGAACAGTGACATTATCCATATGAATCTGACCTCTATACATTTATAGTTGTTAATGAATATGATGTATTTCTTTGTTTGTGAACCTCTGTCCTGCGTGACAATGAGAAGTGATACCACCCTCAGTGTCAAGACCTGACTGAATTGCTCGGAATAGGCAAACTGTACTACAAGCTCTGCCAATAAATTTGTTAAACAAATAAAACAATATAAGAACATAAGAAAATAAGGAGTCTGCAATAGGCCGGTTGGCCTGTGCATGGCAGGTCCTGTCGAGAGTTACTACCACTCTCTATCATCCATGAATCTATCTAGCCTCCTTTTAAAACTTTCCAGCATTCCAGCACTTACTACAAAGGTGCTAAGCTTGTTCCACTCGTCCACCACCCTATTTGTGAACCAGTTCCTTCCTATCTCCCTCCTAAACCTAAACTTATCCAACTTAAATCCGTTGCACGAGTCCTATCCTGCTCGGATATAAGAACTTTATCTACATCGCCTTCATTGATTCCTTTCACCCACTTAAATACGACTATCATATCTCCCCGCACTCTTCGTCTTTCTTGGGAATACAAGTTTAGTTTCTTTACCCTATCTTGATATGGAAGGTTTCTAAGTCCAGGAATCATTTTCGTCATTCTTTGCTGCACCGACTCCAGATGCCGTAGCTACTTCACAACAGTGACATTACCCACATGAATCTGACCTATGTATACTGTCAATGAATATGATGTATTTCTTTGTGTACGAACCTCTGTCCTGCATGGCAGTGAACAGTGACATCAACCACATGAATCTGATCTATCTATATATGGGTAGGTATATATATATATATATATATATATATATATGCTGATAACCACAAGGAAAGAAGAAAACACGAAGTTCCCAAGCGCTTTCGTGTAATTCACATCTTCAGGGGTGAGTACAGACTAGAGAGAGTAATACAAATCAAGGTGTATGTATACAGAGGAGGGTGAGACCAGGTCCACAATGGTCAGGTATTAGGTAATGACCCTACTAATCTTTAAATAGCACACAACGGTTGGTGGTCAGGTCAGATGGTCAAGTGACCCGGCCTTCTCACCTGATCACAAATCTTCTTAATTACAAAATTGTCCAGCTTGTACATGCCGTTACTCAAATTCATGTTGAATGCTTCGGTATGTTTAATAAGACTAGATTCTATGATGTTCCTACTATCAATTGAATTACATGGTAATATTGAGGAGGCATTATCCCAGTCAATGCAATGCTTGTTATCCCTCAAATGAACAAACAGAGCATTGGATTCCTGGCCTGTCCTAACACTGTATTTGTGTTGTTTAATTCTAGTTGCAAGATCTTTACCTGTCTGGCCTAAGTAAAACATATTACATTCCTTGCAAGGAACTTTATAAATGCAACCAATTGTGTTGTTGGGGGAGTTCTTGATTAACATTTGTTTAACAGTGCATGAGTTTTTAATATTACCATTTCACAAAAATTTCTCACACATTCCTGCACAGCTAAAAACCTGGAACGTCAATGTGGCAGTTGCCTCTGAAGATGTCTTGAATAAAGACGGAAGCTAAGGTACTCCGTTGTTTCCATTTTCCCGTGTGATTTTATCAAGATATATATATATATATATATATATATATATATATATATATATATATATATATATTAGACTTTGTAGGCCATTTAGTGTAACTGCTAAACAAAGACTACATTATTTTACTTGCAGGTAAATGCTTTTTAAACATAAAGAAAAAAAAACAGAAAACGTATACCTACATCAAGTTATGTATATAAATATATAGCTACATGAAAAGAAATAAGGAAATTGTTCAGATGATAACTTTACTGATCAACCACTCGTCCATAAATAAACTAGGCTGAAAGGTTTGAAAATTATGAAAAAAATCATAACTTTGCACATTTGCAGTAACATACACAACTACATAATCATACATATACATACTGTTATATGTTGCACATATTATTATACTTTATAGTATTTTCCAGGGCATAGCCAGTGACTCGTCTGTGAAGTGGCATTATTGGCGACTGTAAGGTTTGCCTTCTCAGAACAACTGAGAATGTTTGTTGTTGTGTTTACAAGTAAAGAATTCGACAAATTCATCCATATCAATGGTTTTTGCTCTCTGGGGATGTATACATGACATTAGTCAAGAAACTCTTAATAACTTCATGGAGGAAAAACTTCTCTCTGATGACGCTGTTGGTGGT